CGGCGAGGTAGTCATCGGCGGCCGTAAGGCCGGGGCCTATTATGACACTTGCTCGACAAGGAACTTCATCAGTCGCAAGTGCGTTGAGAGGCTGCGCTTACAGGGGCAAGCGAAGCACCTGAGTCGACCTGTGGAATCGACCTGCACCAACAAACAACGCATGGTAGTTAACGACTACCTCCAGAATGTTGAGTGTTGTTTCCCGTACACTGGAGGGGAACTGAGACATCATGTTTCGTTCCTAGTGAGCGATGATCTCCCCATGGATATCTTGTTAGGTATGTACTACCTCTCCGTAGCACAGCCCCAGTTTGACTAGGACCGAAAAGTGGTCAAACACACTTTGCCAGGTGGAAGGACCGCCAGATTACGTAAGTTCAAAGCTAGTAGTCTGATTGAGTCCTACGGATGCATGTGTGTGCCCGCGTTCTATAACTATTATAAGCAAAATCCGGAGGAGGGTATGTATCTAGTTTACGTCTCTGCTGCAGGCGAACTGGTGAAAATGCCGCCGAAGATAGAGGGAGTAGTTGCTAAATACCCTGATCTATTTGAAGAGCCGACAAGGGTTGTCGAGAGGGAGGTCGTCCACGCGATAGAGATTATCCCAGGGTCTAGCATCCCGAAGGGTAGGATCTATCGGATGTCTCCAGGCGAGCTTGATGAGCTTCGCCGGCAACTCAAGGAACTCGTAGAGAAGAGTGGATCCGGCCGAGTGTCTCTCCTTATGGATCTCCAATCCTATTCGTACCGAAGAAGGGGGGAACACTGAGGATGTGCATTGACTATAGGGGCCTCAATGCCATCATTGTCAAGAACCGAGGGCCCCTACTGCGCATCTACGGCTTGCTAGATAGAGTGCAAGGGTGTCGGTACTTAAGTAAGCAAGATTTGACGTCCGGGTACCATCAAATTGCAATCCGGTCCGAGGATCAACACAAAACCGCATTTCAGACCAGGTACGGTCTGTACAAGTTTGTGGTGATGCCTTTCGGCCTTTGCAATGCTCCTGGCACCTTTCAGCATGCTATGAATCGGATATTTCGTGACTACTTGGATAAGTTTGTCATCGTGAACCTCGATGACATACTTATTTTCAGTAGGACCGTCGAGGAGCATGTAGCGCACTTCGACAAAGTGCTTAGTCTCCTTCAGCAGCAAAAGTTCAAGATAAATGGGGAGAAGTGTGAGTTTGGTCGCACCCGGATCTTGTACTTGGGTCATGAGATTTCCGCGGAGGGTTTAAAGCCCGATGACGCGAAGGTGGCCAGCATTCGTAACTGGTCACGTCCTCAGTCTGTGACTGAGATGAGGTTTTTCTTAGGGATAACTGGCGACTATCGTAACTTTGTAAAGAACTATAGTATAGTGGTCGCCCGTTTGACTGACCTAACCCGCCTTGACACCCCATGGGAGTGGACAGACAGGTGCGAGGCTGCTTTCAGACACCTGAAGCATGCGTTGACGCATCATGAGGTATTGAAACTTCTCGATCCTGACAAGCGGTTCATAGTAACCACGGATGTCAGCCAATATGACATAGGCATCGTGCTAACGCAGCAGGAAGGGCCAAAGTTGAGCCAGTTGAGTACGTGTCCAAAAAGATGCCCTCTCAGAAGTTGGCTAAGTCCACATATGAGAAGGAGCTCTATGCAATCTACAAGGCGCTCACCTATTGGAGGCACTATCTCCTTGGGAGGTTCTTCTACGTGAGGACTGATCACCAGATCCTGAAGTGGATGAGAACCCAGCCTGTGCTCTCCGACGCTCTCAAGCGCTGGATTGAAGTCATAGAGCAGAATGACTTTGAGCCCCAGTACATTAAGGGTGAGTACAACAAGGTCGCTGATGTGTTGTCGCGTAGACCAGATTTCTCCGGTGGGCTGATCACTGAGTTTGGGATTGCGGACGATGTTACTCGCTCTATGGTAGGCCTACCGCGAGGATCAGTTTATGTCTGAGATCATTCGCAGACTTGAGGCGAAGGACAAAATCACTTCTGCCGAGTTTGAGTTGGTCAACGGCCTGCTGTTCCTTGAGAAAGCCGGTAATAAACGTTTGTGTGTTCCCAATAGGGAGTCTTTGAGTAGTTTATTTTTAGGTGAGTGTCATGATGCCACCGGACATTTTGGCTTCAAGAAGACTGCAGCCAATCTGCTGCAGCGGTTCTGGTGGCCCACGATGATGAGAGATGCCAAGCTGTACGTGGAGACTTGTCAGGTCTGTCAGAGAGACAAGCCCCGTATACAAGCCCCGTACACAAGCCCTTCTTGGGCTCCTCAAGCCCCTTCCGATTCCGGAAAGGCCCGGTGAGAGCCTGTCCATGGACTTCATGGACACGCTGGTCACCAGCAAGAGTGGAATGAGACACATCTTTGTTCCTGAATAGATTTAGTAAGTACGCGAGGTTAGTTGCAATGCCAGAGACAGCGAAGACCGAGTATGTGATTAGACTCTTCAAAGAGAACTGGGTCAGAGAC